ACAACGTTTGGATGCTCAATCCTAAATGAGGAAGGTTCGTTATGTTTTTAGATAAATAGAAGCTACGAATATCAACCGTGTGTCAAGTTTCTTATGTATCACGGGAAAGTAATTTGCTAACTCGAAAAAAACATGCATTCTAATATTCTGCGAAACTTGACGTTGCCAAGAAAAAAAAAAAGACACAGAAGGATAACGTTGTAGAGAAAGACAGACGAAAAGCGACTACGTCTGACGCATTCCAAAATCGAACTGATCTCCTCGTTTTTATTTGCACGCGATCTTCTTCTTTTCTCAGTGGCTATCGCCACATAGCCCCCCTTTGGAGACGGAGTGGTCCCAGTGAACTGTCCTGGAGTGTTTGATGCGGGTCGCGGGTGCTACTGTTGAGCTCGAGGTGGCTTGCACGCTGGAAAGATCAGTCGGCTGAGCGATCGTATCGCTCTCAACAAATGCTGGCTTGAGGCGGTCAACGGACACGACCATGTCGCGGCCATTAACTCGCAGCGTGAATGTTTTTTCACCACGTGCCACGACGAGGTGGGGACCAGTGTAAGGTTGCTGGAGCGAACGGCGGACGCTGTCGACGCGCAAAAACACGTAGCCACTGTTGTGCAGGTCGCGATGGAAGAAAGGAGGCTTGCTCTGGCGTGTCCGCGTCGGTGTAGCGCGCACGTCACCGAACAGACGGGCTAAGTCCTCCACGTAAGGCAATCCTGCAGTCATCGTAGGGCCGCCGTGGATCGGAGTGGTAGGGCTGACCAATTCAGCTGGGAGGCGCAGCAATGTTCCATAAACTAGATGTGATGCGGCACATCCGAGGTCTTCCTTTATGGCTGTGCGCAACCCTAGGAGGACGATGGGTAGAGACATGGCCCATTTATCTGGTGTGGAGTGGGCCATGAGGGAGGCCTTGAGATGGCGATGGAACCGCTCAACCAAACCATTTGCCTGAGGGTGGTAGGCTGTGGTCTTCAAGTGAGCGATGCCAAGAAGAGTTGTCAAGCTTCGGAAAAGGGCCGATTCAAATTGGCGTCCGCGATCGGTCACGATTTCGGCGGGAACCCCAAAGCGGGAGATCCAGGTGGACAGAAGCGCAGAGGCGACAGTCTCGGCAGTGATGTCTTTGATGGGACAAGCCTCCGGCCAGCGCGTGAACCTGTCGATGACGGTTAGGAGGTACCAGTAGCCCTGCGATGACGGTAGGGGTCCGATGAGGTCCACGTGAATGGTGGCAAAGCGCGTGTCGGAGAGTGCAAACTTTGCCAGAGGCGTGATGGTGTGCCGGGACACCTTACTCTGCTGACAAGCAATGCATGCTCGTGCCCACGCGCGGACATCAGTGTTCATGCCAGGCCAGACAAATCGTTTCGCGATTAGATTTTGAGAAGCGCGGATGCCTGGGCGTGAGAGAGCATGAAGGCTGTTGAAGATCCGACGCCGAAGTGGTAAGGGTAGACAAGGCCGTTTCCGTCCGGTCGCCGGGTCGACGTCGCAAACGATGTTTGTGCCCAAGTCGGAGAAGTAAACGTCCTCAATATGGAGAGAGGAGGTTGGGGAAGAGCGAAGGTTGCGGAGCTCTTCGTCACTCTCCTGTAGAGCAGGGAGTTGTCTAAGGTCACACCCGCGGTACTGAACTGCGGAGATGCGGCTGAGGGTGTCGGCGGGGATGTTGTGGACGCCCTTGATATGCTGAATGTCGGTAGAAAACTCAGCTAGGAATGCCAAGTGTCGCGTCTCTCTCGGAGATTATGTGACCTTAGATGATCTGAAGGCATTGGTTAGTGGCTTGTGATCTGTAAAGATCACAAACGATCGTCCTTCCAGGAAGAATCTGAAGTGCTTGATGGTAAGGTAAGCCGCGAGGAGTTCACGGCCGAAGGCACTATATCGTTGCTCGGTTGGTGTAAGTTTCTTGGAGAAGAAACCAAGCGGGAGCCACTCGTTGTTGATGCGTTGTTGCAGCACCCCTCCCACTGCGTATCCAGAGGCATCAACCATCACGCTCGTGGGGGCGTCGTGCTCTGGATGAACTAAGAGGGTAGCAGAAGCGAGACGCTCCTTGATGGTAGTGAAAGCGTTGTCTGCAGCGTCAGACCAGTCAACAGTGGCTGTTGTACCCTTCGTAGTTTGAAGGAGCGCTTCTAGGGGAAGTAATATTGCCGCGCAACCTGGGATGAACCGCCTGTAGGAATTCACCAGGCCCAGAAAACGGCGGAGCTGGCGGAGCGACTCTGGACGTGGGAAATCGGTGATCGCTTTCACCTTGTCGGGAAGAGGTCGGATGCCATTGGAGTCTACCACGTGGCCCAGGAATTTCAAGGACGGGACGCCGAACGCACATTTTTCTGCGTTGATGATCAGGCCATGTTCAGCAAAACGCTCGAATACTAGGCGCAGGTGGCGTAGATGTTCCTCCGGCGACGAGCTGGCGACAAGAACGTCATCGACGTAGGCGAAAACGAAAGGTGGTCCGCGGAGAATGGCGTCGATGAAGCGTTGGAAGCTTTGCGCGGCATTTCGCAAACCGAAAGGCATCCGGGTGAACTCGAAAAGTCCAAACGGTGTGACGATTGCGGTTTTCTTTACGTCTTCGGGAGCGACCGGGATCTGATGGTACGCTTTCTGTAGGTCGAGTTTCGAGAATATGGTACATCCGTTCAGGTTGGTGGTGAAGTCCTGAATGTTGGGGATGGGGTAACGGTCGGGGACTGTAGCCACGTTCAAGCTGCGATAGTCACCGCAGGGCCGCCAGTCGCCTGTTTTCTTCGGGACTAGGTGGAGTGCAGAGGACCAACTACTCGAGGATGGGCGAGCAATGTCGATCTCCACCATGTGTTGGAACTCTTGCTGAGCGACGCGAAGCTTTTCGGGAGCTAGCCGACGAGACCTCGCGTGTGTAGGTTGACCGCTGGTGATGATGCGGTGGACGACATCATGCCTGACCGGTTTGTTCCAGTCGGGAGCTGCCGTTAACGATGGGAATTCGCTCAGCAAGTCCCCGTAGGGCGACTGTATTGGTTGGCGAAGTGTGAAAGCAAACGGCTGGAGTGTGGAGGTTTGGCCGGTGACGAAAAGGCCTGTGGTTGAGTCATGAATTTTCTTTTGGGCCATGTCTACTAGGAGAGAGAAGTGGGACAAGAAATCCGCTCCTAGAATAGCGTGACTGACCTTGGCTACAAGAAAGATCCAACGAAACGTCCTTCGCAAGCCAAGGTTGATCGAGATTGACCTCTTCCTGTAGACGGGGATGTTGGAGCTGTTGACTGCTTGCAGGTGGCAGATAGGAGTAAGTGTGCAGTCAAAAGAATTTGCGGGTAGCACACTCACTTCAGCTCCTGTGTCGACCAGGAACTTCAGTCCACTGGTAGCGTCCGTAATGTAGAACAGGCGACCTTGCTTATTTGGGGGAGCGCTCGTCGCCACTAGCGATCCCGCGTCTTGTTTTCCGACCAGCTGCAAGTCCTGGTGCAGCGTTCCGCAGCAGCTCCAAAGCGCTGGTGATACCAGCAGTGCTGTTGCTCTTGCCGCTGTTGGTTATGCCTTGGCTGGTGGTTCGCCTGTGGCGAGGGAGAACGACGGCGGGAGCTTCTGGTCTGTGAGGATCGCCTAGGGCTGCGAGGTCGTGAAAGGCGCAATGTGCTTGTGACAAGCTCCTGTAGTTGTTGCACGTCTTCTCGCAGTGCTGCGATTTCATCCCGAGTAACCGCGGCCGCTATGGGTGCTCGAGTCGCTGGAGTTGCGGGCTCGGGGCGCTGTACTGATGAGACGGTAGATGTTGACGGGTGTTGGCTTGCAACCTCCATGATCTTATCGGCGTGGAGAGCCAAGGCAGGCAAGGACAAGTCGGATGCAGTCGCCAGGATCATTTGCACCGACGGTGGGAGTCGCTGCAAGAACAGCTCTTTCAAAAACTGGCTGTCGAACGTCGCGGCACGGTCGCCGAGAAGCGCCTGCATCTGGCGCAGAAGTTGCGATGGGCGACGGTCGCCCAGTTCTTCTGCTGAGACTAACTGCTGCAGGCGTTTTTGTTCCGAAAGCATTGTGCGTTCTAAAATGGCAGTCTTGAGCGCATCGTACGGGTTCGTCGCAGGTGGTCGTGCGAGGATGTCGTAGACCTCCAGCGCCACTTCGCACGGCAGCGAAGCCTGGACATGGCTGAACCGTACCTCTTGGGATATTATGTTGGCCAGTCGGAAGCTTCCCTCGACTTGAAGAAACCAAACTTCTGGGTACTGTGCCCAGAATGGAGGCAGGCGAACAGCGTAGGCGCCGACGGTCGCAGCGGAGGTTGCAGGAAGCCCAGCATCCGCTCGGGGAACGTTTTGACGTTCCATGCTGGGACGTCCGGGTCACCAATGTAGAGAAAGACAGACGAAAAGCGACTACGTCTGACGCATTCCAAAATCGAACTGATCTCCTCGTTTTTATTTGCACGCGATCTTCTTCTTCTTTTCTCAGTGGCTATCGCCACAACGTCATAACGTTCTTCTTTTTCTGTTACTTCTCCTCTAGTCTCGTGCTTTCTTACCACAGTCCTCATTTTTGCACGATATGTCTAGATACCATCAGCTTATTACTCTCACTCTTTCTCTTTGACGTGATAGAATTTCAGCAAGTCACATTACGTCGTCTTCTATCTTTGGAAGCAGGCGTTTGTTGTGAGCACAAATTATATATCATTTTATAACCTTCTTCTACGTCCACTATGTTAAAGAACTGGTTACAAATTAAGTATAGTGTTATCCTCGTCACGACGTCATACAGCCCTACAACTCTATTATAAATGCTTGGAGTCTATCAGTAGTCGTAGAGAATAAACGGCCGGATGGTTAGTAAATTAAATATTACATACGTTGTTACCACAATTGAATCTGATAAAATTAATAATATTTTACGTACATATTGCTACATAATTTGAGGTATGGGGAAACAATGGCGATAAAAAGTTAAAGCTTTTGTTGTACATTTTTTAATTATTGTTTTTTTTTTCTTTTTAGGAAAGACGACCAGAGAGGCCTGCCTCTAAAAAAAGATGGACCACTGCCATGATTGCTGGAAGTGTCATCCTAGCCGTTGTCGTGTTAGCTGCCGCCGTCATTGGGACTTTGTTTTCGCTTGGATTTGTGACCGTTCTTTCCGATGAACCAAAATCGGAACATTTGGCCGATGATGGGAATGTATCGAGGACGTGCAAGACTCAACAATGCACAGACGTGTCCAGCGCCTTACAGCAGACACTCACGGGAATGTACGACCCTTGCGACAACTTCTACAAGTACGTTTGCAGCGGTTGGAAGGCAGCGCCGAGCTCCAAGGTGACCAGCGTGTTTGGTCAGCATCAAACGAATTTAACAGCGTCCGTGGTTCAAGCCCTGAAATACACCAAGGTTCCGGCGGAAAATCAGAGTCCCTACCAGAAAGCAGCGGGTCTGTTTCAGTCATGTTTAAGCATTCTGGACGCCGACAATTCCGATATAGACGCAAGAAAAAGCATCTTAGAATTCCTGCGCGCACGGAAAGCTCCATTTGTCATCTACTCCGACGTGGACCCGGCGGCTTTGATGTTGGACTTTACGCTAAACTATGGCCTTTCGGTCCTGTTCGACCTGAAAGTGGACGAGGCGCACACCATCTCCGGAAGCCGCTACTTGAAGTTGCATATGCGTTCGTCTCTTTGCCGAAGACAAAAGGCCTCGACTGAGCAAGTCATGGAGCATCTAACCTGGCTGGGAATTGAAAACGAGCAAGAAAAACATAACATGACCACCATAATTACGACCGTGAATGAGTTTCTGATTAAACTTTGCCAAAAGGTAGTGGAGGATAAAGGGCAACCGGAGATGCCCATCTTCCTTCTGAGAACGTTTGAGAAAGTCGTCATGCATGCTTCAGGTGATCTTTGGAATAGCTACATGAGGGGCCTCACTGAGGGCGCTCTTCCGGGAGAGCACTACGTGGCGTTTCCAGGCAACTATGTAAACAGGTTTCTCAGAACCGTGTTTGACAAGTTAGAACGGGATCATCTGCGGCTTTGGATGAGCTGGGACGTGTCCATACAGCTAAGGCAGATGGTAGTACATAGCGCACCGGGGTCTTTCAAAATAAACAGCCTACAAGAACAGTGGGAGCAGCGGTGTCTCAAGCACACGTTTGAGGTGTTGCAGTATGCGGCGTATTCTGTATATCTCCACATCGCAGTTACAAACAAGACAGTGTCTAACGCTAGGGCGATGGTTGAAAAGATCACTCATTCGATCGGTCGCCGAATTGAAGAGTCATCTTGGCTCGAAGATACCACGAAAAAAGTTGCACTCAGAAAGTTCACCAAGATGGAGAGGATCGTCGGTTATCCCGAACCGGCTGAGTCCGCCCAAACGCTTCAAGAATACTACGCAAACTTGAAAGACGTTGGCCCTTCGTTCATCGAGAACTGGCTGCAGGCATCACATGTTTCCGCCCGGAAGGTATTGGACCGCTTAGCAGAGAATCCCCCGGTCATCAAGGTGAACACCGACATGAGCCTGGTCAACGCTCTTTACCAACCGATGCTAAACACCATGCTTGTACCCGCAGCCCTTTTGACACCACCATTCTTCGGAACCATACCAGCGGTCGACTTCGGCTCCGTGGGTCACCTTGCTGCTCACGAAATGATGCACGCCTTTGATGTAAACAGCAAAAAGCGTGACGACAACTTGAATTCGAGGGACTGGTGGACTCCTCGATCGATGGAAGAGTACAATAAGCGTGTTTTATGCCTCCGCAACTCGGCCAAGGGGGGCGGAGCGGCACCCGACCTCTCGGAACCGGATGATGACAAGGATTCCGAGATGATGAGCGACGTCCTCGGCCTACCTGGATTATTGGACGCGTACGCAGCGGAAACGTCGCTTCCCGAATCTCTGCTTCATCTCGGCGGATTGGAGAAATACACCAGCGACCAGCTCTTCTTCGTTGCCTTCTGCTACAAGTGGTGCTCCAATAAGCGTCCGGGTCGTCGCTACCCCGACTTCAGCGTGAGGTGTAACATGCCCCTGAAAAATACGCCAGAGTTTGCGAGTGCATTCAGCTGCAGTGAGGACTCTCCGATGAATCCGAGAGAAAAGTGTAGCTTCTGGTGAGAAGGACGAGGAATGTCTCCACAGTCTATACCGTAAACGGGTGCTCGCTCTGTGAAAAAAACAAAGACAAAAACAAAAACACAAATGTGGTTGGAAGGACACTGCAGATGTGGGTAACTCCACCTGTCTATTCTGCACACCACATAACTTTCCATCATCTTAAAGCTCTTTCAGAGACAAGTCATTTTATAGTGAGTAGAAAATATGTTGTGAAGACTCAAGTCTTTTGACTTGGAAATGTCTGATTATGCTATTTTTTATTGCTTCACTCATCTGTAATAGTATTTTATGTTTGCGAAAAAACTTGTCTGGCATAATTTAAAATACTCTTTTTAAATAGTGTTAATTCCCCTATGTAAAAAGTACTTAAAGACTGTCGGGCTGCTCCTGGATGTTTGCTCTCACAATTTGTTTTGCGAATAGTTTCTGTTTTTGTTTACAAAAACAACAGCTGTAGTGCGGTATAGTTCTTATGTTTATTAGGTTGGCGCAATGTTTCGAGTCATCGGGGCTGAGAGTCACCAGTTCAGGGAATAAGTACAAGTCACGATGTAAATCTATGATATTTAAGCAGGAAGTCAATATAGAATATATTATTACTGTGACGAATGTGTGAATAGTAGCGGAATATTGCGGCGTGCGAATGACATGCATCTGGTCAATGGTCTCCCTCTGTTTTTTTCAATGTGCTGCGATCTGTGGTTGTCCTAACACGAGGTCGGAAGTTTGCTGAGACGGAGATGAATAACTTAAAAATACCGTCTCTGATGCTTAGACCCACAATTTTAGTTTTCGCCAGGAGCCTTCCCTTATCACAATGGCATGAGTTCAACACCTGAGACAAAACCAAAACATTAACGAAGAACTAAGTAAACGTGTTCAATAGCTTTGCAAAGGTTGTTCCCAGCAAAAATGTTTAGAACAAATTCGCAAATTAAGTTTGTCGGCGCGGCTTCTTATATTTTCCTTTCCTACAGGGTCGCATATACATTCTAAACACAGCGAAACAATATAGAAGAGTTGGTTTCTGCATTGAACAGTTAGAAGTTTATGTTAGAGATCGGATATTTTTGTACATTTTTAAGGTGTACTATTGTTTCTGCCAGAAAGGAATTAGCATAGAATTCCTAAAAATCTAAACTCCCGACTCAGACGCATATGCCTGACTTTCATGCCATTTAGTGAGATATGGCTTCTGCTTTTAATGACCGCATGTCATTGAATGCAGAAAACGAATGACACTTAGGAATACGACTCTGGTAGCTGGAACGTCCTTTTTGTTTAAAGGGATGCTAAACCGAAATCTGGATTCCACAGAACACGGCGGCAAATGCGTGCAACGAGATGCTACAAACACCAAAACATCACTCATACAGCGATATCTCGAACGGATGTCCGTATTTTTAATAAAAAGGTGGCGCATTCGACAGATACGTTTACGTCTTGTTTTTCCAAGAAGGAGGGGGAACGGTCTCGCGTCTTTTCCGCTTCGCCGCCTTGAGGGGGCGAAACGAAGAGAGAAGGAAACGATATATTTTTACGTCATGCACCTCGTCGGCCTGGTTCAATCTCGACCACTTTTTCCAAAAATACGGCCGTCCATCCAAGATATCGCATTACGTGTAGTGTTGTAGGGATCGTAGCGTTCCGCCTACATCTCCTGCATTGTTTTTTGAAATCCAAATTTCGGTTCACCATCCCTTTAAGCGCCTTTGTCGCTGTTTTTGTAACGTTCAGCGTTTAACTTGTAGGTTAATTGCTGCACGAAAATCATTCTTATATTTAAAACTACCCCAACATGGCACTTTTTTAATGCGGATTTTTGCGTTATCATTTGAAAGGAGCCCTAACATGGAGGTCGGCCTTCTCATTCTTGTACAACCCTTTAGCGTACAGGGGTTCTATTCTAATTTATTGTCAGTGAAGTTGATCGCCATAAACTTACAAAAGCTAAAATTGACGATAAAACACACCATTGACTACACGTCAAGCTTGTTAAGTTGAAATACCGATTGTGCGGAGCATTCTAGAGTGGTCAAACTGTTGACGCCACTATCCTTACAGTACGAATTTAAGTAAAACTGGACTGAACTCACATTATTATACGTGGCTAATCGAAATATTCAAGGATATTTTATAATTTAGTTTTCTATCAAGGAAGTATTTATTTTTTTACTTTATTGTTAAAAAGCTGATTGGTATCTTTTAATCTCCGGTGCTAATATTTCAACAAATAAATGTCAAAATACCAAAAGCCGTATGACGACAGATACCCTAGATACGTTTCTTGACAAAGCGAACTATTTTACAATTTCGACCTAAATTACATTCCAACTACAATTGTTGTTGCTTAATCACTTTACTCCGATTTTGTTCCTTTTGCAGTGACATATTGTTGCAAACCGGCTTTCTTTTTCAGTAAAAGGTGTTTGTTTCGTGCTCCCATTTATTTGTAACTTTCAGCTTTATAACGGTTCTCATCACGTAATACAGCAATTTGCCACCGATGTCGGTGCACTCTTTGTTGACGTTTTTGTTGTCTCGCTATTGTTTGTAGTCGCGATAGATTCAAGTTTCGGGAAAAATATATGATTGTTTTGTATTTTAATCTACCGGTCAGAAATAAATGTTTACCTGTAATTTTATTACGATTGCCTTATTTTGGAGGAAAAGAGGGCACTAGAAGTGTTAACACAATTGTAGACACTCCATTTACATTTCATCACGAGGGTAAAAATTTCCCGCCAAATTTAGTGGGAACATTTTACCCTCGTGACGTCACACGTGACGTTATTATGGGAAAGATCTCATATTGCAACGCGTGGTTACGCCGACGCCCCTGAACCCGGAAACGGGCGCCTAAGAGCTGCGCTCTGTAGGAATTCGCGTACCGCCGCCAATACGCCAGATCCCACGCGGACCGTCAACAAACCGAGTCCAGCCTGGTTCTTTCACGGGAGCGGGATTCCGTTCCTCGTTTATTGGTACAATAAAACACAACGCTACAAAACACTGAATTTAAACTACAAATACACGCGACATCACACGCAAACCAGGGCCCCCAGGCCTCGTGTCCCGCGATTACCCTAGATCCGGTCGCCCTACACTTGCCTGGGCTCGGTAGCGCCCGAAGTTCTAAGAGGCCCTTCGCCCCCTGCTTACCGAGTATATATCAATCGATGGGCGAGGAGGTTTCTCCTCACCCGCCACGGCCTCTGCAGCGCCATCCAGTGGCAACACTAAAAAAAAAAAAGAGTCGCTATGACTCTTTTTGGGGGTATTGGTGCGCCGCAGAATTGACTCCTCCACGACTCCAGTTCGTAGAGTCCCTCGACTCTTTCTTTAAAGAGAGAGGGGGGGGGGGGGTCTTTGCGCGCTACAGATTTGACTCCTCCACGACTCCAGTTTGCATAGTCACTTGACTCTTATTTAAAAAAGAGTCCTGCGACTCTCATCACACTGGAGTCATGGTAGTGTATGGGCGACTCCAGGTGACGTAGTGAAATGCGACTCTTTAACAACTCTTATTCAACGGAGAAAGTGTGACACGACTCCTTTCTGGTAATCCCCGTGACTCTGTAACAAGAGTTGTGAAGACCATCTTTTTATGAAGAGTCCCCCGACCCCTATCGCAAAAAGAGTCATGGGAGTGTATGAGCGACTCTCCGAAAGATAGTCAGTGCTGACTCACTTTATCTGGAGTATAGCAGCCCCAGTCAAGGATCAGTTTGTTGAACAAAGGGAGGCATTAGGGAGTTTTAGAATAACGTACGTAATTTTAGCGCACGCTAGCGCTAAATTTAGCGCTTGTATTAGCGCACGCGATGCGAGAGTGTTTTAGAATAGCGTTTCTCCGTCGCGACGCAAAAGCCCAAGCATCTCGCGCTTGCGACACCATCAAGATACAGTCACAATTTTTATTTCACTCACGAAATATTGTACTTTAGGAAAAAAAAATAAGCTTTTTGGTCCAGAGTACCATTTTAGATTTGTTTAAACATGAGAATTCGACGCGAGCGGTTGGCCGGTCGTGTCCGCTTGCGTCGCCTCGGCAAGAGAGGTCTCATGTACCGACCTTCGCACATCGTACCTTCGCCGAGAAATGTTCGTGCGTCACAAGCATCAAGTTGCCGGTGATCGTTGCCAAACCGAGTAGAATGTCGTCCTGTATTGAAGATCGTATTCACGAGGATGCCGCCGACGTCGCACTCACAACGCCGCCAAAGCAGCCGCCGACATAATCCTGGAAGCCGCCATTTTTTTTAACTGTGCTCGTCTTGGCTTTAGCCAACCTCTCATCACGAATCCTCCTTGGAGAAGCGCAACGACTCATCGCGTATGCACGCTATTTCCGAGAAATAGCGCGCGCTAAACTTGTGCACGCAAAGCGCAAACCCTGGTTTGCGTTCGGAGCATGCGCAGTGGCGATGACGCTATTTTTTGCGTACGCAAAGCTTTAGCGTTCGCTATTCTAAAACTCTCTATTGTGATCGTTAGGAGATTTCTTGCCGCCTGCGAGGTTCAACTTGAATTTTGCTAAAACAAGGGTAGTAACATCAACAGTGTGAAAGTATAAAAGTTGAAATGGAAACTTCGATTCCACCTAAAAGAAGCGGTAACATCCATTGTCTGCAAGTGTAAACGTCGAAATGCAGAACTGATATCTTACAATTTCCTGTAACGAAACTTGGAAAAATGAACGATGATGGTCTTAACGATGCTGAACTGAATGCTGCTCTAACATTTATCGTGAAACACAACAGAAGCTTTCAGGATAGCATTGTTTTGTTACATTGGAATTTGCACACAACAAAAAAAAGTAAGTTTTTTTTTAATCGGCAGCTTAACTTTCTATTAGTTTGAATGTACTTATCATTTACAATAGGTTGTATATCTTCTTTATCACATGTCTGGACTATTGGCAGGAGCTGGTGTGAACGAGCATGTTCTGTTGCTTCGTGCCCGCTTGGAGTGGACAGATGGGTGGCAATAAATTGCAGGAATCTTCAAATTTAACAATAAAGATAGCTGTTTTCTCTCAGCTCATATCACTGCCATTTGTGCAAACGCAACTTCATGAGTCTTTCCATGCATGTACGCCAAACAAACCAAAAGTAATTAAAACAATTACTTTATTAGAAACTAATGTGATACATATTGGCTCAAAAGCCTCGTTCGGCTTATCACAGGTATTTTATCACAATAACTAAACAAATAACATCATAAGAAATAATACTAATACACAAAACTGGTATAACTATTAGACAAGAACGAAAATAAATTACAACGACAAGTTTTGTGAAGGCTTGCTTTGCCTGGTTGGTGTTGAGGATTTAATTAGAATAAAAATATGGCAGAAAGTTTTATAAAAGCTTTGTTTGCCTACTTGGTGTTTTTTCAAAGCTTTGTTTTTCTTTTTGCAGTTTCTTCTCTTATGGTTTGGATCCTCAGATCAACAGATGCACAAAAAAGAAAAGAAATCTAACAGAACTTTGGATACACAATGGAACACACAAACCTTTGTATTAGAGCTGGAATTTTCACCAAATACATATGGAAAACATTAAAACAGTAACCGTTATTGGTAATTCTTTTTCCCTATTCTAAGGATGTGCTCCGAGTGCTGTCACAACTTTCACAGCTCTTACCGAAATCTTTGTATTTTTTTACCCATGAGGTGCTCAAGCACAAAAAGTGTGCCTCGTCGATTCTCCCCCACATACTGACCTTTCTACGCTCAGTACATGGCTAATACCCGAGAGATTCCTGTTGAAAAGTCGAGGACGTCGATTCATAGGTCCTCACAGACAACGCACATGCAGTTCGATGTCCATGGTGCCTTCCAGTGAAAAGTAACGTTGGGTTCACGAAAGTCTTTACTGGGTCCTGGCAAAAAAAAAAGCCAATGATAAGAAATGAGTTCTGGAAATCAGACGAAGTTGTAGGTGAGCAAGGTAAAATTGTCGATGCCATGTTAAGTGCCCACAGTGTCATAGATGGGAAGTCCATGCAGCAGAGTGAAGGCAAGTGGGGCAGGTGCCCATTGCTGCCTTTCTATATTTCGCTTTCCCCAATTCTCACTTGATTGTGAAGCGTTTCGTACGGTGGAACCGGTGCATCAGGCTGTCTACCGAATTACTGATTTCAAATTCCTTGACTTCTTTAGAATTTCCGTTGACAATTTTGATAAAAACTTCCTGACCACTTCTGGGTCGAAGGATCATAATTCGGAAACGTTATTCAGCATAGTCGTGCCCCTGCGCAACCGTCAAGCGTTGTTCCGTATCGCCGTTCCACTTTCAGTGGTCAGTTTCCCTGATGAAGTATCATTTTTGACGATTTCCCTGAGAATTTCAGGTTGGTAGACACCCTGATGATGTATCAGGTTACAAATGGACACCATAAAAATGCAGACCATTGCATTCAAAATTTTTTTGCCATCAGGAGGAACCTAAAATATTCCCATGGAGAGAAAGAGAGGTGGAGGGGCGGAGGAGGCTGCTGCTGCAATTCTACTTTTTTTCTTTTAAAAGAATATCAATTTAAGGCTCAAAGGGAACGTAAGTAATAAATAAGTAAGTGCACTGAGAGCACTTGAAGCACAAGAGGCACGGTCCCTACTGAGGAAAGAGGGGAGGGTACCAAGTCTAGCTGTACCTGTTCTGCAGCACCCTGCATAAGCTAGGTGCTAGGCAAGACTGGGGCTCATCTACTGAGAGCAGGCACTTAGCCAGGAATTTGTTTCGGGGGGGGGGGGGGGGGGGGGGGGGGCGCCTATGACAAAATGCTGTATGAGGGGGAGGGGCGAGAGGAGGTCCCAGCGAAATCGAAGATTTGGGGGGGGGGGGGGGCCGGCCCCATGGGCCGCCCCCCTGGCTACGTGCCTGACTGAGAGTGTTTAGTGCAGTCAAAGAAAGCCTTAAAAATCTTTGCTGGGCAAGCTGCTTCGTGGCTGCAATGAAAGAAAGGGTACATTAAGACAGGGACAAGGAAGGAAGGGAAGCCTTTTTCTGAATAAACTAGTTGGTAGTGAGTGCTTGTTTCTTCCTTTCTCGTCCTCGTCTTATTGTGCTCCCTTTTTAGTTGTAACGAAAGCAAGCCACGATGGAATTTAGAGAGGGCTAAAAACTTGCTTTAACATCTGTGTGCATGTGAGGGAACGCTTCATGTACAAGGCCTACTACAAGGTAGTAATCATCACAATTTTCCATCTGAGTAACAAAAAAATGTATCTCTGCATTACAAAATATCCTTTAACTTTTTGTGTGCTGTACCGATATAGGCATCTTTTGCATGCAGAAATGGTGGGACACTAAAATTAATAGTAATTTGTTTATCATCTTTGCTTAGATAAATGTTTCTCAAGTTTGGCAGGAAAGAACCGCCTTCGAACATAAGCCCAAAATCTTGTCTGTGGTTTGTTTTAAGTCATGGCCAAGTACTCCTAATAAAATATTGAAATAACCAGTTGAGAAGACAACGGATGATACTTATCTCACTTGGTCTCCAGCTTAAAAAAAATGTTTACAGATTGGCATAGCGAAGACACCCTTTCAAACAGATTTATCTTAAACAACCATAGTTACATGTGATCTATCTTTAGAATGAGTAGTTACATCGACCACGCAAACGGCACGGCTTGCCTCCGCTCTTGTCCCTTCCCCTATCTTGTTTTCTTTTGCGAGGATCGGCATTGATAACAATAGCGTAGGTCTTGACGACAGCGAAAGTAGCTTGTAAGTGGTTGTCTGCACCAATTTAATAATAACAGTCTAACCCTCTTATTTAAGAAGGCAAACAAGGCGATGCTCTCCCCCTGAAAAAAAAAAGGAGCGAAGTAGGTTAGAGTAAGACCATAGCACCTCTATACTCACAAAGCCTGCCAGTTCGACGACGGAGTCATAGAGTGCCTGGTCACAGATTTGGAGCGTGAGGATTTGATAGCACAGAGCATTAAAGAGCCATTCCTCGGGGAACCTGGACGTCAGCACACAGCTTTTGCAGTGGTGAGGACCCAAAACAAATGTTTTTCGTGTTTCGAGTCCGCTGCGGCGAGACTCTTCTCTGTTGTATGCCACTCCACCTTTTCCATTTCGGCGACCGCTTCTCGTGGCAATCTGCCAGGTTTTGTCAGTATAAAGGAGGCTATAGTACGACATATGCTGGTGCTCTGTAGCCATCCTGCTGCGTAATCTTTGGGCAGCCCCTTACACTCTAAAAAAAAGGGAATCAACGATGACTCCCTTTGAGGGAGTCAAAGTCTGTCCCTGTGGTGGCTCCTTTAAGAGACTCAAATCACTCTAGCGCCCAGTGGAGTCATCAGACGCCCTCTCCACTAGAGTCCGCTGACTCTCTCAGCTGGTGGTGTCACGTGACGACTTCCCTCTCTGGAGTCAACTGATCCCCTCTCACAAGGAGTCAGTGGATTCTCTCGGTAGAATTATGGCACTCCAGTATTGCAGGAGTCAGGCGACCCTTTCACTAGAATCACGAGACTCCAATATCCAAAGGAATCAGGCTACCCCCCTACGGGAATCACTGGATTCTTTTTCTTCTGGAATCACGTGACTCTCTATCGGGAATTGTTAGATTCCGTTCCTGGTTTCCCACGATTCCCCCGAAGGGAATTACTTGAATCCTTTTTTCCTAGACTTACCTGACTCCTGCACAGGACTCTCTGGATTCTGTTTTCAATGGAATAATTTTCATGCTATAAAGAACCGTAGTGAAATGACGTGATTTTATTTAAAACCACATGCCCCTCCAAATACACCACGCAGGAATGTGGTGGATAGTGGTGGGGGAGCTTTTCATGGAATTACATGAGGTGCAATATCACAGTTTTATTTCATAAACAAAATATTTTTACAATTTCACTCCAACTGCTCACATGTTGTTGACAGCAATGGGCTACTTGCAGCCCATTGCAGTAAACAGCACGCGGCTAACAACGAATAGCTGTTGCCGCCTTCATCGCAGCCACGGATGGCAGAGACTGCTTCATGTTACACAGGTTTTCTAAAAGCAGAAACGTGTTTTTCACGTGTGGGCCATACTCCACATTAAACGCCCGATACGCGCAAAAGGCCAGCTCGATAGCCCCCGGGATATCCAGAGCTGGAAGCTTGAGACTCTCAAACGTCATTCTTGCAGCGTCAGAAGTTGTGGGATGACGCCCGCTGTAAGTCACGGCCGGGTAGACTGACGTCTTTGTGGGATCCTGAAAGATAAAAATATCTAGTTGAGAGAGCGCTAAACATTGTTGATTAATATAATGGTGCCATATTACTAAACGTAGCGTTTAAGTCATGATCTAAGGTGATGCCAGAAATGCCATGAGACGCAATAAGACGGTGGTTTGTATGGGTGACTTAAGATTCAGTCGCCAGTTTGGAAACTTGCCTCTTACTGCAGCCCTTAATACATCCGCATGAAAAAATTAACGTAAAATGAATGTTTTACATGTCGAAATGTATACATGAAAGGAACTATGTGTGACCTCTCTTTTATTGGAATGTATAGACGACTTTGGATTAAAGTTCTCAGGAACATTGGGGAGATAAAAATTCCCGCTAACTCTTCAAATTGTAAGAGTACAGAAAAATCTAAATAAAGATACGAAGCACAAGCAATTTTCAAAATTGAAAGAAAACAACATACATGAAAATACAAATAGATTTTTAGCCGTAAGTGCACTTTCAAATCAAGGCTTCTTTATCCTGCAGCGGACATCAGTCGAAGTGATAAAACTTCCGCAAGAGGTTCATTCAGCGCGCTAGCAGCTGAATGTGCCTCTATACTTCATTTCAGCTTCCGTGCGACCGAAGTCGACGGTTGCCACACTGCGCGAGCCAAGCTGCGAGTCGGGAACGCACAGAGCATTGGGCTCGTGCCTAAGCTTTGACTTCGACCAAAACTAGATTACTCTTTTTTTTTTTTTTTATGGAGTTGACGTTAACGATATTCCGGCATATTGTGCAAGATGCCGGGGTACCTTGCAAAATAATTGATAGAAAGGCTGTAAAATTTTCTCTCGAATATATTTTGGACAGTTTTCGCGAGCGTTTTGTATTTTCTTGAAATTCTGGCGAAGGTGTTTAACCATTTGAATCAATGGCATTTGGTAGTGAGAAAAGACATACACAGAAGCTGCGCGAACACATGCGTCAAATCACCTTTTATAACTGGCACCTCGCGCTTGCACCGCTTACATTATTTTTATTAGCTGTCCCGGTGTAAATTGATTTGCGACAAACAGGCGTACGGTAGCGCGTCGCGGCTCAGGGCACGTGGAGCGTAAGCTCGCGGCTCGGAATACTGGGTTCAGCCCCAGCCCCCTGGCCTTTCTTATCTGGATGAGCAATGTACCGTCACCCGTTTGTATAATTAGTGATCTCTACACCGTGTTACTTCTAAGAAGCCTAGGCTAGCAGTTGTGCTGCACTAACTCAATTTCTCGTCTACTGCGTGAACCACTGTCGCTATGACGTAGACAGACTTCGCTATATATAAAACTCAGCACAAAATAACTTTGCTTGGCTTTGATGTTGAACAATAGAATGCGACAATGAACTGCAGGTTACCTTGGGAGGGATTTTTTTTTTGCAAGTTTTAAATATAGCATTGAATAAGAAAATTGTAACATATTGCCACTTACATTGTATATGTGCACAGGTCGTAGTACAGCAACTCGATGATACGATGCCGAAGTGGATCAAGAATGTTGCCCTTGGTCAGGGTAACCAGCCTAGCTCGAATGTCAACAGGACCTCCGGTAGCCTGTACGCCTTCGGGTCCCTACTGGAGCAGAGCAGAGCCCTGCGTTGCCACTGGGGAAATTATCGGTGTAATTGCTGTGGTCACCGCCGTCAGGACACCTGACGACTGTGCTACTGGCTCCACGACAGCAGTGCAGGTCCTAGAATAAAACAGAGATTTTCCTTTTTGTTTAAACATGTTGAGTTTCCAAATAAACTGAGGGCAACGCGTGATGCAGTGTCCCATTCTCATTTGTTGCCGCCAAATTGGTAAATTTTAGAGCAGGTGAGAGATCAAAAATGAAAATATATTAGACTCAACCATGCTTCTGTTGAATGGCTTACATATTTTACTCTTCAGGATTAGCAGCCCGGGAAAACCGGAGCACTAAATTTCTTTGCAGTCGGTTTTGCTGTAATTTACAGGCGAACGTTATAAACAGCTCGTCGCCTAGGCAAACGTATCTGAACATAAATTTAAACAAATTTTTGTGGCTAAAATGCGGCATGGGAAGGAAAATATTTATATCTAAACTTTGCACCATTAATATTATTATAATCGGGTTATATTGCTGTTCTCACAGCAAAGATCTCCGACGCCAAATGTTTTGGCGATAAGAGCTGAGGGTCTAGTAACTTCAGAAGTGCTTTCGTATCAAGTTGAGACAACCAGTGAAAACCTTTTTTTGATCAAATTTATTTCCGTTTTAAATCTCGGGATGGGCATTAAAAAGAATAAAAATGCCTCGATCTTTCTAAAGGCAGTGCTGCTTAGTTTTACACTTATATGGAGGAAATGCTGAGGGATTACAGAATATAAACTAACATAAAACACCTAATTACGCGGAATATTAAAGGAAAAATGAAATTCCTACCTATAACTGTAATATTTGATTAAAAAACATTAATATAAGTTTTAAGTACACTTAAGTGCTCTTAATGTATATCAGCAGTGCTAAATTCCGTCAACACTTATATCAGGCAGCTTCAGCACATAAATTAGTATCTTGAGTGAACTAGCCAAAAAACCAAATTTTCTACATGAAACAACAACAAACTTACTTGTCATTCAAATTCCCCGCTTGAGTCACCATTCATTGAGGATAAATGATCTTGGATTTATCATCCAGAATCCTGTTGTCCTCAATGTCCACATGCTCGTCGAAGTCTTTGTCCTTAATCTGAAATGAGAAGGAAATTGAATATTGTAAAATAAAAGCTTGAAATGTACCCGGAGTCTGTGCGCAACGGTACATCGCGTTTGCCGAAAGGTCAAAGAAAGGCTGCATGTTTGAAAATGAATTCCATTATTTACAACTTCGACAGTAAACTAGAAATATTGAAGCAGCTGTGGGGATACCTAAAAGACGCAACTAATGTGTCCTATTGTAAACTACAGTGTGGGCGTCGCCTTAATGTGCCATGGAATTTCAGGATGTCTCTTATACTATGTGCAGAAGTGAACTGAATAGGGCTTACTTTGTCACAAATATTATCCACGTTGGTCTATTTATTTATTTTTTCGTATTCGCTTTGGAGCTATCCCTAAAATCTAACCTGAAAAGATTGGCCTTCACTTCGACGCGTTTCTGCATTATAGTTTACATATTGATATCTCGCAAAATAAAGAGGATGCGCTGTATTAATCCGTCTTGACTGAAGTTTGTCGAAGCTGTTTGTGGTGTAGACCGGCGAACGCGGCCGGAAGGCCGCAGAACAAGAACTGACACGAGGCAGGCACTGGACGCTGACTGATCTTTATGCCGATGGTGATGCTCCTATATACAATTGGTAATGCATGAGTTCAGCGCCCTCTATACACAACATATTTCCCCCCTTTAAACAAACAAAACCCCAGTAACTAGAACACAACTTTCACCAATAATTACAGTTATTCACATAGCTCTGGAACCACTATAACAGATAATTCTAGTGTAAAACATAATCATTGTATTTTCCGGGCATTCTTCTTTGTCGCTGAGGCCTGCTGTACGACGGTGCCGTGGTCAACAACTCCTGTTGGCCGGAGATGTCCTGCGCTTCGACTTGCTCTGGAGCTGGCGCCGACTCTGCTGGTGTCGACAAGATTTCAGTCTCCTGAAGTGTAGCGTCTGGAAGTGTCTCAGCACCCCGTGCAGCTTCCGCTCCGTGCGTAGCGACGGTAGCGCTGTCGTCACCTGGCGATAATGTCTCTGGGGTTCTGGCAGTTGCGACGTCCCGTGGTGATGGTAGTTGTGATGCCCCCTCTTCAGTGGGCAAATCCAGGTCGCATAACTGGTCTCTTACCGCTCCACGTCGTTCCCTAACTTTTTCTACCAAGTTCCGGGCACCTGGTGCTCCTCCTTTGGCCACTACTGTCAATTTGGCAGCGTTCCATTTCTTCCCATTGTCTAAAAGGAAGGAATTTTTTCCCACGCGTTTTTTTACTTCTATTGGCAAAGAAAACCTCTGCTGTCCTTTTGGTCCTCCCCACCTCTTTATTTTTACGAAGTCGCCGGGTTCAATGATGGAGTGCCTGGCACCCCGTCTTTCATCGGTGTATTTCTTTGTCCTCTGCTGTCGCTCTTTGACACGGCGTTGCAGTTCGGCGACGTGAGGCCGCGGTTCATCGAAAAACCCTCTCTCCGGTAGTCCCACGACGTCCAGTCTTGTTCGTGGCCGCCGTCCGTGTAGCAAAAACGCCGGAGACATGCCGGTGGTCGCATGGGGAGTTGCCCTGTAAATACTCAGGTATTCCAGAATCGCCTCCTTAAGTGGTCTCCGCTCCAGCGCCGCCACCTGAATATACTCTTTTAAGACGCGGTTAAATCGTTCTATTTGACCGTTGCACTGCGGGTAGTACAGCGAGGCCACACAGTGTTCAATTCCTCTGTCTTGTAGGAACCCTTCAAACTGTGTCGACATAAATTGTCTGCCATTGTCAGTGACAACACTCTTTGGGTATCCTTCCCTCGCGAATAGCTCCAGTAACACTTTCGTCACCGACTGAGAAGTTATCGACGACACAAAAAAAACCTCCGGCCACTTACTGTGATAATCAATCACAGTTACTGCAAATCTGCACTCTGGAGGGGCTCGTTCCATCGGGCCCACAATATCCATGCCCAGCTTTTCCCAGGGCTTTTCGGGCCATTGCACTGGTTGTAGAAGGGCCACCGCGGTCTTTGCAGACTTGTCTGATGCCTTGCACACAGCGCAGCTTCTAATGCAGTTTTCCACGTCTTCGTCCATCCCAGGCCACCAATACTGCTCCCGGAGTCGCTGCTTTGTCCTGACGATGCCCGGATGCGATTCGTGGGCCATCATGATGAATCTGGACACCAATGTCGATGGAGGCACCACCCGCTCTGCACGAAACAGCACCCCCTCCAGAACAGAAAGCTCTTCTTGAATCCGCCAAAATGATAGTAGCTTTCCTGACAGACATTTCTTTTCTGGCCAACTAGATGTGACATACTGCATCACCTCCCGTAACACGCCGTCCTTCTCTGTCTCCACTTGCAATTGGTTCTTTGTTACCACGCTTGACACCACAGCAATGACCTCCTCTACTGGGTCGCACTCTGTGGACAGCAAGGGCAACCGGGAGAGTGCGTCAGCGACTACATTATCTTTTCCTTTCGTGTATTGTACAGTAAAATTGTACCTCATCAGCCTTGCACACCACCGCTCTATCCGAAGTGGCCGCCTTCCGGTGCCATTAGTAGAGAGCAATGTTACCAATGCCTGGTGGTCCGTTCGCAGCACAAAATTTCTGCCCCACAAGTACACATGCCAGTGCTCGCAAACCCACAGACATGCCAGGGCTTCTCATTCTCCCGTAGAGTATTTGCGTTCCTGTGGCGTCAACGTCCTTGATGCAAATGCTATCGTACGCGTCTCACCGTCGATCACCTGTTGCAGTACCGCTCCCAGCCCATATGCCGATGCATCAGTCGTTACCTGTACAGGTAAGGACCGGTCAAACATGGATACTGCGCTGCACGACGCTAGTAGGTTCTTAGCCTTGCCGAAGCTTTCCTCAGCGTTCTGGTCCCAGATGAAATCCTGGCCCTTGCGAAGAAGGCGCCGCAGTGGCTCCACCACTTCTGCATAATGAGGGAGGCAATGAGAGTAGTATCCCATGAGCCCAAGAAAAGAACGCAACCCCACCAAATCCGTTGGCGTCTGTGCATTGATAATCGCGTCCACTTTTGATTTGAGGGGTGCGAGACCCCTTGCGCTCACATGGTGACCCAAGAACGACAATTCCTCTACCCCGAAGACACATTTCGTGTTCAGTTGCAGGCCAGCGGCCGCTATTCGCTGCAAGACCTCGCGCAGATGACTGTTGTGTTCTTTCTTATTTTTGCCAAAGACAATAATATCGTCAATATACAATAGGACGCCCTTGCAACCTTTCAATATTTCTTCCATCATCCGCTGAAACGCGGCGGGCGCCGAAGCAAGGCCAAAACAGACTCTACGGAACTGAAACAGTCCCTCATGTGTGGCAAACGTCGTCAGTGCCCGGCTGTCTTCTGACAACTCGACCTGGTGATAGGCTGACGCCACGTCCAGTTTAGAGAACCATGCTGCTCCGTTCAAAGCGTGCAAAAGCTCCTCCGTGTGCGGCAACGGGAAGCCGTCAACGACAATGGCCTTGTTTGGCTCCCGTAAATCTACGCAGAGTCGGATGCTCCCGTCTTTTTTTTTTACCACCACTATTGGAGACACCCACTCAGAAGCGTTTACCCGTTCGATAATGCTTTCACGCTCTAATCTTAACAACTCAGCAGAGACTTGTTCTCGCAACATCAACGGTAATCGCCTAGCTTTTGCTGATACTGGTTTGACGTTGGGGCGCAGTTTAACTTCGTGTACCACGTTTTTAGCAAGTCCCAGTTTCCCCGCAAAGAGGAATGAAAACTCACTAAGTTCAGGAGGCAGAGGTTGTGGCCCCGCCGTTGTCTGTAGGCACGCCAGCGATGCGCCGTCGATATGCAGTCGTAGTTGTTGCACCGCATCCAGTCCCAGCAACGCCATGCCCCTTGACACCACATAGAAGCGAATGTTTGACGACACGCCTCCACGTGCCGCTTGAGCCACAAAACATCCCAAGACTGGAATTCTTTGCTGTGAAAAGTCCCGCAGAGTCACCGTTGCTGGAGCCAAGGCGAACCGTCTTGCAAATTTTTCTTGATAGATGTTTGCTGGCAAGATAGACACTGACGAGCCTGTGTCCACGACAAGCTGAATCACTTCGCCCTCGACGCAAACGTCGACTATCAGAGTGGTTCGCTCGTTCTGTGTGACTGTTAGGACACCCAACTCTTCGTTTCCGTCCGTGTCCTGAACCGCTTGCACCCGCGCTTGCCCGGTACTTCTACATACCGCTTGAAAATGTCCCACCTTGTGACACCTCGAACACCGCCTATCTCGCGCTCTGCATTCCCGTGCACTGGCTAGGTGTCCTGAAGCACCGCATCTGTAACACCTGCGGTCCGGAACTGTTGAAGAACCGCTGACTCCTGTTCCTGAACGATTTCTTGCCCTCTCGACTTGCTGAACCATGGCAGCGTCACGCCCCTCCTCGTAGACACGGGCACCTTCCGCTGCCTGCTCGAACGTCTGTAGGATGTCCATGGCCTGGCCCAACGTAAGCTGTGAACCTTTCATGAGCAGCTTCTGTCTTAGCTCCACGCTCCGTACTCCGTCGACGACTTTATCCCGCAGCGCTGCCTCAAGAAAGTCCCCGAAGTCGCAAGTACTCGCGAGCTGTCGCAGGGCACTGACGTACGCGCGTATCGGTTCTTCCTGAAGCTGTCGCCGCAACATGAATCGCCGTCGTTCGACAAGCACATTCAGAGTGTTCGTGAAATGTCGTTCCAACAACCGAAGTGCATCGGTGTAGTCGTCCGGCTCACCCCCTTTTGATGTGGTCTTCTCCGGCGTACTTCCAGTTGCAGCAGCAGTTATCGGTGGTGCAGCCGAAGGCTCTGGAACCAACGTGCGAAACACTCTTCGACCTTCCACCCCCAAACACTGTAGAAGTATCGCCTTTCGTTGTGCTGGCGGTTTCGCGTCCATTTCCGTCGCCTGCAGAAAGATCTCGAAGTCCTCTCGCCATTGCCGCCATGGCACTGCCGGGTCTCCCGGCGCCTCCAAAAACGGGGCTAACGATGGCAGCCCAAACGTATTCATCTTTGCGTTAATGGGTAACGCCCCTCGCGTACTAGTTGCGAAAAACGGCTGTCATCTTGACTGCTGCCGAGGTTGTGCTTTTGTCGACTGCGCCAATGTGGTGTAGACCGGCGAACGCGGCCGGAAGGCCGCAGAACAAGAACTGACACGAGGCAGGCACTGGACGCTGACTGATCTTTATGCCGATGGTGATGCTCCTATATACAATTGGTAATGCATGAGTTCAGCGCCCTCTATACACAACACTGTTCCTTGTCTACGATCAGCCACATTTAAGCTCGAAAGTGGCAGTAGAAGTGAGGATTCGGCTGACCGCGCTAGAAAGTTGGAACCAGGCGCGAAAACAAACAAACGCAATTAAGGTGAGAAACAAACGGTGTAATATCTTCAAACATAATGCGCTCAAGCCTGTCGGCGACTTACCTGCAGAATGGCGTCGTCTCTGATGTCATTGAAATCCGGGTGAGCTTTCAAGACTATCCTTAAATCAGCGAGCTTCAAGCTTCCGGGAACTAGAACCTTTTTAGCAGACAAGCCACAGAAAGTCAGGCACGTGATTGTCTCGTCAGCTAACATTTTTCCGTTTACAAGAGCAAAATGTGAAGCCACCAGACCAAGAGTTTAAGACTGCCGCCAGAGCAACGTGTCGGAGAAGCGAGACGCTGTCCCTGCAAGCAATGCTTCTTCTTTGGTAGGTACTGGTCGTGGTTCGTTCCTACGGTTTGGCCCTTACAATTAGTCTTCCTCCTTACACAGACAACCGCTCTCTCCCCTCAGAGGGGAGAAAAGAAGCTTCCAAAATGGTAAACGAAGCCGTATGCGTGGCTCTCAGAGGATGTGGCTAGAACGCTGGAGCGCCTGTCCCCATTCCCGTTCGCACCCCGTAAAAAAAAAAAAATACTAACAAAAAAAAATATAAATGTATACCCCTGCTTCTCGCAGGGCCAGACCTCTTGGGAGAACTAACAGAGGCAAGGACAAAAAGTGACTTTTTCAGCAGATCTTGGCTCGTGTTTTGCTTTTGCGTGGCTCTTTTTTTAAGGGGAGGGGAGAGGGGGGGGGGGTTACTGCGTGACCTTAGTCTTTAGAACGTACGTGCACACGTGCATCCATAGGCAATGGACAAACTGTGGGACAGATGTATGCATCAAGATGGGTGCTCAAGGCTCAGACCACATTGAATACGCTCTTTGGCCGGTAGTACGTTACGAATTGAAGCAGTTTGATCCTCGTAGACGGAGCACAGTTTGCAATCAGGCAATTACAGTTCAAATTGTTTGCACGTTCAGCAACACCAGCCTGAAGGAAGGGGAGCGTGGCAGTAAAAGGCGGCTTCCGACAGATTCCAAAAACATGCCCTCGAGCGCTTCGGGCGCCGGCGAGTGACAAAAGGAACCCCCGTCCCTCGCTCTTCCCTAAATGGACGAAGGAAGGCGGAGGGGGACATTCTTGTGACGCTTCCCGCATTGTACACAGATGTTTCGGACTATTTCAGCAAAACGAAAAGAACGAGTGTGTGCCGGCCGGCTGTAAGGGTGCCGTAAAGCCGACCGAAAAAGGAACAAAGGAAACAAAGAATGCGGGGAGGCCCTCGCTACGACTATGAGCCCCAATAGCAGTAAAAAAGAGTATCACGTGACCCGCCCGTTGGGCGCGGCGACACGTGCAGCTTGGGGTCACGTGATGCTCACTCGACGCTTGATTGGCTGGGACGTCTCGTAGCATCCACGCCGGTCTGTTCCTTGGATGGAGCCTTAGCGCTTTTGACGTTTTCCCCCCTTTCACAGCCTGTTACCTATTTTCCTCTGCATGTTTTTTTCTTTTTTTTTTTTACGTTTGAATATTTGGTGTATACTGTTTTTAAAAGGTCGATGCCGTCCCCTTCGATGCCTTGTACATATGTCACCCGGGGACGTGCATAATTAGAAAAGAAAACCTGCACTGCCTACACAAAATCGGTAAGGTGGAGGCTGTTAACGCATCGAGGTGAGCGTGATGATGAAGGAAAGGGATTCGGGAAAAACTGTCTTTGCTGCGGTGACGTGAAGACCGTCGGCCGCGTCGGGCGCAGCTCACGCTGTAGCAATGCGCGTCTCAAGGTAGTGAGCGCGGTGAGTCAAGGTGTGGCCTCTTTATGACGCAGAGACCGTAACAGTACACAGCGCCAGAAGATGGAGGAACAGCGTGTGCACTTCCATTGCCCAAGATGAGAGTTCTTCGCAGCGAGATTTCTTACAGCTCTTCCTCCTTTTGCGGGATGTCCACAGCTGCGAGGGGGACTTAAGGTGCTTTGCAACATCGATGGGTGCCCAAGAATGTACGCAAGTGTTGATTCCTACAAGAAACATGTTTATCGGAACCACAGGCACGTTATAGGGGATGTGGAAACCGCACTGCCGGAGGAGGCACCTGATCATTTGAATGAACCAAACCCTGATGAAGTCATGCGCCACGAAGGAGGAAACGAATCTGTCGGGATGTGGTGGTACAAATATGCACAACCTGTTCTTAGGCGGTCCAGAATTTTAACGGGAGGAAACTTGCGTTAGGACACTTTTAATTTTGCAATTAGCCTGCTTGACATGGCGGAGAACGAGCTTGTTTGTGCAAATAAGCGGATAATTATCATACAGTTCTTAATTAAAATTTTAATAAGTAACAGTAGACATATATTTCTAAGCAAAAGATTGCTGGGCATCATCAAAAACCAGTAAATCCGTAAATTTCATAAATATCTAGGGCATCTATGTAGCGTAATGCTGTGCGCAAGCTATTACTTGTGGAACGGGCGGAACGCTGGTGGAGCTAAAAAGGGTGTGATAACAAACTTTAAAAAAGCGCTGGCGTGGCGCTTTTTGACATATTTACGGGACCCAGAAAGCGACGCACATGCATCCAATCTTTCTAGAATTTACAGACTTCGTAGTTTTCGATTATTCCAAGCAACATTCTAATTAGAACTATATGCATATCGTGACTATTTAGAAATACGGTCGAATCTCGTTAATTCAAACTCGAGGGGTACTGAAAATTTGTTTGAATAAAGCAAAGTTTGAATTACCTGGAGTTTCCTCCCATGAAGACGCATAGGATAGGACCTGCATGCTAGTTTGAATTATCTGCAAGTTTTAATTAAGAAATTTTGAATTAACGAGATTCGACTGTATATCTTAATTTTCCGCCTAATTGCACGAGTAACCTCGTTCATAGAGGCCTTCAAGAGAAATAAACTAATGAGAACATTAAAGTCTCCTAACGCAAGTTTTCTTTACTAAGAATGCTGGATCTTTAAAAACCACCCATACATCGCGTTATGCAATGCCATGTTAGAGATGAGTTAATGTATTACTGCTGATGGCAGCGAGCTTGTATCTGAGTAAGAAGATAGTATAGTTAACTAATCTCTAATTCCTCATTTCTTACTTTAAAGGGGCACTAAGAGGGTTCTGCAAACCGTCTTTACATGGTCACAGCTAATTCTGCGGGCCCTAAGCATCCTGAAAATCCAAAAATTACCATCATGAGCCGCCTTTTTCTCTAATAAAAATATAATAAAAAAAATATTTTTTTTTTGCGAATATCGCAGTACCCGAATTATTGCCGAACATGGCCGAACGACGAACGGCACTTGTCGGCCAACCGCGAGCAATGGTTTGCTGCGTGGAGTGTTCCGCACGCGCGCTGCCTCTCGGATCGTTTTAGCTCCTTCCACAGTTGTTGCCTCAGCTGCGCCGTCGTAAATACCTAATGTCGCATCGTGGGTGTTGGAAATACTACAAAGCATAATCGCGTCCCAGAGATGACAACAAATCGCAGAATGTGTGTTATGTGAGCATGTGATCGAAACAAAAAAGGATTTCGCGAGCATCGTAAGCGCACGCTCCGGGAAGCAGGCGAGCGCACACATCACTCGCGCAGAAGAATGCAAAGGAAAATATAGCTCGCGCGTATTTCTAGGGTAACGGGCTCATTAAGCGCCTTTGCCGTCTTAAACTTGCAGTGGATATTATTGGGCGGCTACAAGATTATACATGAGCACAAATACACGTCATCAAACACCTATTACGCGCCCTTTAAAAGATGTGCGCGCTGCTGACATGATTATGCTCAAACTGTAGTTGCTGCAAGAAGTTGGTCAATAAAATGGTATCTAAGAAACATGTTGTTAGTAATCGATTTCACCGGCGTTTGCCGTTGGTCAATAGAAATAAAAAGGTGGACTAAAATGAATGAAAATTGGGGTTTCATAAACATATTTTGTTTTTTTGCTATATCAGGTATCATAATCATTCTCTCCGATTATGCAATCCGCGAGGCGGCTGCCTTGCCGATTATGAGTTCCAAGGAAGGCTCACAATGTTTAACCGAATAAGGACGTAACAAAAAAAAAGTCACACTCTGACAGTTGTTTCATCCAGTTATCTGTTATGTATCTGCAGAAGCGAATTCGGGTGTCCACACTACTGTTCTTGCCTCCGCTTATACAGGTTAGCATCTGAGTGTATTCTAGCTTCACTTGCAGATAGCTTACTTCTTAGTATCTGTATCACGAGGAAAAGGAACCTTTTTATGAAAAAGAGTTCTATAAAAGAGGATCTGGAGATGTTGTGTTTCTACAGAAACACAAATGTGATTGAGGTAACTTTCAAAGAAAGTGTCGCTTGCCGGTTAAAATCGCCTGTGAATTGCATGCATACGTACGCCTCGGACAATAAATACAACACTTGGTCTAGTTTTTGCTGCTCCTGAGATTCCGGTAAGCTGCACTATCTTTCTATTTGCAAAATAGTTCGAATAACAACGTCCAAACTTTGCATTCTAGCCCTAGTCTGGACCAAAACCTCTTGCTAGTAGATGCTCTATATAAGCACGCGTGGCTGTTGTAGCTCATATTGTCAGCAATGGCGATGCTAGTTTGACAAGAATCCCTTCTTACGGAACGCGCTGTGCATGTTTTTATTTTTCATGACTTATGAAATAGAAAGTATGGACAATACCAGACAGGGGACGGTTGGCAAGTTCGGTCGTCGGGGGCAGACCAAAGAAAACAGAGATCCCACGGGTTCCAGAAGCGATGTTTTCTTTTTGGCTATAGCTTTTCGGAATACACTGTGGACAAAAGTCATAATGCGATACATCGACACGCCGTAGGCCAAATAACGCTAGGTTCTTTCACAACATATGTTCTTGATTGGTTTAAAACAATTTTCACGATAGAAAAATTCACAAAGTGAATTCGCGGACCAAAGAAATCGCAAAAGCATTCCGCTTGGGTACTTGATAAAAAATTGCACAATAAATATGGAGCGTCTCACAAAGGAAATACTGATATTTAGTTTTTATTATTTAGTCAGAGAAATTTCGTATAGTCGGAGAAATTTCCTATGTACTGTGAAGGAATTCCCACAACTGAATACCCAATTTTCACATGGTTTCCCGGGTGCGTGTCCGCACTTAGCATTTGTGTCACGCAAGGGTTTATCAAGGACCGATTCTAATGTTAGTTACGCGTCTGTTGCAAGTTCACATATCACTATTGCGAATTATAAAGACAACGTGTAATCTTTCTAAAGTTTTGTAATGCAACCAAGGCAAGCGAGTGTGTTCCCTAAATCGAGCCTGACGTTGGAGGACGATTTTCGCAGTTTCCTATAGTTGATGAGAAAGCACCACCAACATTTATATTTAGGAGTTGGCCATAAGTTGTAGCAATGGAAGTTTCCATACTATTTTCTCACAATGTTTTTTTTTTTTTTCGTAGTTGCGCATTATTTAGTTTTTCTTTTCTTGAGATAACGCTCACGAATGTTATGATTAACCAAATTTCACGGGTGTCCTCTTGTCACAGCTATTGGCTTAGCGTAAACTGACCTAATTGAGAAATTGCACTTCAGGCAGCTGGCCGTTTGAGGAATTGTCTGAAGACAAATCGGCAGTTTGATACTTTAGACCCATGTTACGGATAAAAAAACAGGACGCGGAATTGTCTGAAGACTAATCGGCACTTTGGTACTTTAGACCCATGTTACGGATAAAAAAAAAAAAAAACAGGATCAACCGCGCTCGGCTTTGGCTAGCAGACGGCGTTCGTAAAATGGCGTCAGCTGTTGCTGGCTTCACGCAGTGGTACCGTGCTTGCTTCTATTCATTCGGCGTTCGTTGCCATGGTGACGGCGAGAAAGACAGACGAACTTTATGTTGCGGAAGAACGCTGCGGCGCAGCGATACCAGGTGCGTTCTAAGGCCCTTCCCGTATGCTTTTCAAAGGGCGGAAGGCGAACAAAAAGAGTTCGAAATGAGGACTCAATGCAGAATGCTGCATTTCTCCAGCGTCTCATGATTTGACGAGCCTTGCTTGAAAAGCATGTTTTTCTGGCCATCCCGCGCCCTGATTATTTATCCGTAACATGGGTCTAAAGTATCAAACTGCCCATCACGTATAGAAGTTTTGCAGCAGCTGTGCATGGGCACCGCCATAACTGACCTTCAGTTTTTCCCCCTTATTACGTTTACTTCACTTCATTATTACCACAGCAGGCCATGTTATCGCCATCTTAGATTTTATTCTGCCTTTCTCCCCAGCACTGGCTTTCGTGGAGGCTCTTCCACACCAATTTCAGTGGGTCGGTATCTCGGTAAAACAAGAGAAGGTCAGCAATGGCGGCTGTATTCTGGCGCGTGTGTAAAGCGTCTATAGGCTCGAAATATTATAAAAATAGAAGATCCCTTCGAAGCCAGCAAGAAAAGAAAACGAAAAAAAAAAATACAAATGAATGTTTATGTTCCAACAACAAGCGCAGGAGGGAGCAAAATTTAACCTACCAGTGACGGCGCCTGTAAGATTGGCAGAGCATTGCTTGGTGAACGCAAGGTCGGCCATTTTTTACATATCCCGAAGCATTTTAGCGACCCTCCAGCGCCACCAACAAACCAATTTTTTTTTTCTTTTTTTTTTGACGGCTCGGAAAATTCCACTGGGGAACACAAAAGGGACGAGTACGGCAAGAGGAGAGGGCATAAGTCAAGGAGAGGAGGAGGCTTCCGACAGAATTCGGGGAGACAGTGTACAACATCTGCGGCATTGTCGGGATGTTTTTACTTTCTCGGGAAGACAGGGCATGAAACTGAGAACGGGACATGCATGGGCAGAGTTTACAGCGTTTCCTCCACCTCTGCTTGTTGCTTGAAGCTGCCGAATGTGACATGCCGATGAATACGCAATGCTCTCCTAAGCGTAGGCTCCCGCGCTTCCGCCAATCTCGGGCCTTCGTTTCATCGGCTTTGCGCGCGCCCCAGAAGCAGTCATTGATACCGAAGAGATCTTCAACGACCGCATTCACCACCGGACCTCCGGGGGATTCGTGTGCTGTGTGTGGTGTCATGCGCTTAGGCAAAGCATGGGCGACAGCGGAATAACTGTGACATAGTGCGTGCTCTTAAATGTGTACAGACATCAGCAAACATCTTCCGGGATTGATTTCAGAATGAAGTTGCGGTGAGCTGACCCCCGATTTATCCGTTACAAATTAGTGTCTCCTAATAATTCATATGCCTTTTATGCGGATTTCTGGCCATAGAGCACAGCGCTACCATTTACCTTGTGCATTGGGCCGGCTTTCTTGGAGCGAGCCGCAAACATTTACCTGAGTAAATATGAGAGAAGAAAAAAAGACAAAGGCGCGTGTGGGTAATGTAATTAAGGCATGTCGAATAAAATGCCTATGCCACGCTGGTTTCTTTCTTCTGTCTAAACAAACATTGGGAGTTGTATGTGACTGGAGTGCATGGAAATACCTTGCCCTAAAAGGTGATATCGTTTTTGCAAACACGTCAAATTGTCTAATATTCACGCGACGTGAAAACGGGGTCATTTGACTCTGGTGGCGAGACTCTGTCACGCTGACTCTACCAACCTCATAGAATCAGATGACTCCCTGCGTGCCAAGTGGGGTCACTTGAGTTTAGGCATTTACTATTCTCATTTGACTCCAGTGCTTTTGAGGGAGTCCGAACCGCATCAGACTCCTTTTTGCTGCCAGATGGAGTACCTCGACGCCATCACGCGAAAATGGGGAGTCAAAAGCGCATTTGACCCCACCTGACTCCCTTTTTTTCTAAGAGTGTAGTCCACAGAACTTTGAGAATGTAGAGGTTATCTATCCTACCTGTGACACTATCTGCAACTCGCAAATTTCAGTGCTGCGTTGGATTGTTTACAGCAAGGCATGCAAGTGAGTCATGTTTTTCTTTTATCCGCAAAACTTTCAAAACGCCGAATTGTTTACCTCGGCAAAAACTGCACGGTTCGGGGCACAGCCACGCAGGCGACAAGGCATTGACACCAAGAGGTCCCGTTCTCTTTCCCTCGCTGGCTCTTGTAGTACCCTTGTCTCCGTCGACTGAAAGGAAAGTCCCTTCAGTGTCGTGCATACTTTAGCCTCCACTGAAGCAAAAATGATTCCATATGAACCTAATTGCCATTAAAGACCAAAGTTCACTTCTTCACTCTTATTTTCTACCCACCTAATACAATGGTTTGTTAACAGGAACACACTGTTAACTAGAAAACTCATTCGTAATGCAAGTAATCCGTAGTAATGAATCATGTTCAAGGTCTAATTAAACAAGCATGAGCACTAAAGACACCCTCTTCCATGGGTGAGTGTTAGTGGACCCGATTCGGCTAACATGCGAGGCCTAGCTTGACAACATAATAAATGACATTGTTTCTGGTCACATTTTTTTAGATGCCTTGGCATTAGTTCTGACCTTGGACTGGTTTTGAGCGCACCGATATAATGTTTGCAACTTCGTCATGGGAGCCACGAAGTTCTTTTAAAACTAAATTGCAAGCTTTAAAATAAAATAACAAAAAAAGTTGTACAAATGCACGAATATAATTACCATTGTCTATGCCCGTACCTGCTGGCACCTGTTTCCAGAAAAATCAACAAATACCAAAGTAATGCACGAATTATTATACATCGTGAAGAGGCCTGCCGACAACCTGGTGAACAGCGTATTGAATGCCAAGAACGCATTGCTAAATATAAGTGACAATTTTAGAAATAATATAAAAATTGGGTAGCGTTAGATGGGTGTGTACGTGTTGATGGCTACCTTGTGGAACGATCTGTTCACAAAATTTATTAGCAGTGGAATACCTAAAAAATAAATTAAAAAAGTGAAAGCCGTTTACAACTCCCTGTAACACCGAATTAGAGCGCAGCTCTTGAGGAGGAGGAGGGAAGGGTACTGGGGGGTGAAGTGACCTGGGGGGGTCACGTGACCTTGGGGAGTCACGTGACCATGCCGATGATGTCATCAGTGACGTCACTGATGACGTCATCACTGACGATGACGATGCGGACTCCGATGACGTCATCAGCGATGATGACGATGACAATGCGGATGTCGGTGACGTCATCAGTGACGTCACTGATGACGTCATCTGTGATGATGACGATGACGATGCGGATGCCCCCCGAAGTCACGTGACACCCCCAGGTCACGTGACTTCGGGGGGGGGCGTCACGTGACTTCAGGGGGTCACGTGACTTTGGGTGTCACGTGACCTTGGGGTGACATTGGAGGTCACGTGACCTTGGGATGACCTTGGGGCCACGTGACCTTGGTTACGCCGACGCAGACGCCGCTCAAGCCGGGAACGGGCCCCTAAGAGCTGCGCTCTAAAAACGAATACTATGCGCCATGGCGCATAGTATATTCGTCTTCTAATTTATTCAACATATTGTATCCAACATATCCATTCAACATATTGTTATAAAAGTGATGTCTTGGGGTTTGTATCTTCCAGTTGAACACTCCCATTGCATTTTTAGATGAAATACAGATTTCGAATCAGTATCCCTTTAAGCACACTACATAATGTGCTCTTTCATTATAGGGCACACAGTACGTGCTACCCTCTTTCCCCGTATCACTCTGTTGGCAGCTCCAAGAAAGTAAACATGTCAGCCAATTCGCGACTCCAAATCACTATAGGGGGCGCCGCTGCATTTTCAAAATGGCCGAGTTAGTGAGGGTCGGTTGGACGGAGAGAGCCCTGCTCCTTACGAGTATTTTGGAATATGCTAACGCTACGAAATATTCGCGGTGCTACGAGGAAGCGGACCTCCTGTTACAGGCCGGGCATTTGTTTCTTTGCGGCAAAACATCGTCGTCCGAGGACAACGTTGAAATATTGGCGTTGTGCCTCGCAACGAGCAGCGTCCGAGGCGATCCGCATGAGATCACCGTAAAACTTGTCGCGGGAGATGGCCCAAAGTTCCGTGTGGACAGTGCCGTCTGCTCGTGCGTGGCGGGATCATCAGAATGCTGCAAGCACGCTGTCGCCACGCTTCTTCACTGCAACAGGTAGGCACCTAGCAACCTGCACAACACGGTACGACTGGCGCGAGTTCGGTGTAGTTTTTCGGCGGCTCTGATTAATGCTCGCTCGTATCTCTTGAGCGCAGGCGCGTCGCATACTGATATCGCACGCAGGTGTCGCGCTTTGAAACACGATAACTATTTTCACAATGGTGGTTAAAATGCGTGCGTAGGGTAGCCCCTAAGTGTTTCTCTGTTGCCGGCGCCAGGTTTCATAGGCGCACAGAGCGTCGGCGCGATCGTAGCACGGTCCCATTTTTAAACCAACGAACCTGTTTCTAACATGATAGTATTTCGCTCATGTGATGTACTGTATTGCATACTCAAAGCACAGTACAAACGCGTCGCTGATTACCTGTAAGCCATGCGAGCTTTATAGTTTCGGTTTCATTTTACAGAAAGGGAATCCAGCATCTCGAAGATCTAAGCTGCACCGACAAGGAGTGCGCGTGGAAAAAGACCCCTGGAAAGGAGTTGTATGGCGATCCTGTGCCGTACAAGATGTTCTGCCATGTAAAGAGGCTCCGACCTACGCTGGAGCCTTCACCCGAGGCGCAGGCAGCTATCCTCAAGCAGCTGACAGGCGCCTGCTTTAATTCTGCGCTCGCCAAGCATAGGTAGGGACAAATTCATCTTATAAGTGTCTTTTGTTCTGTGCGCCCGTCCTGAGACACAGGTAGGTGTCCCCTGCCTAGGCTTGAGTGTTGCTAAGTGACAAAAACAAACCATATTGATTACATTTTTTTTCGTCACATATTGATTATTTAGATGTTGGTAAGCACATCGTATCTTATCAGCATATTCGTCTTGTGTCAAACTGTGATCCCTGGTGGCAGTAGCTCCGACTTAACCGCATCGAATCCAGTTGTCGCATTGAATCCAGTCATGTAAACGGCATAATGCGCTAGGGAAGCATATTGCATTCAAGTTGCTAGACAGAGGTGGATTGAGACGGCAAATGCCCATTCATTCAACCCATGTAAACGGAGGTTACACCGCATTTTGGAACGGAAAGGATTATGGGAAGGCTCTGGCTGCGGAGAGCGGTCCTGTGTGGTTGCCTGCAGTTTTCTCCTGATAAGAAACGCAAACTTTTATTGCTATGCTAAGTGAGCGGAATATAGTTGAGCTGCTCGGTGAGGGTGCCACCTCTTCAAGCCTTGCAAGATGCAACTTGCACGATCGAGGGAGTCCCTAGAGGCTTCAGCACAAGCACGAGCTCCGAGCACTGCATGGTAGCGCAGAACGAGTAGCTCCTGCCTCGGTGCCATTCCTGGCTGCACCAGAGCTTTTCGGCTTTGGGGTCCGGTCGCAGTTCGCAAGGTTTGGCAAGGAGAAGCAAGGTTGCGTCCTTGGAGCGGTTGGAAAAGATCTCGCTCGCCAGGCCGTGTGCACGCACATCACCTCTGACCCAAACTGGCCCGGTGGCCCGACCCAGAGCCCAAAACCTTTGTGTTTTAATGCTTCTTCCGTTTCGTAACTTCTTGTACAGCATCGAAGACAGCTGGCACAGTCTTTACGTTCGCCGAAAGCGTCGAAAGGCCTTCACATGCGATGCACCAGAAAAGTTGGTTACGGGGTGTGGCCGGTGCCAGAAACGCAGCTTTAACTTTGAACTTTGACACGGCGTGGCACCACCTTTGCATAGGGCTTGGTGCACATTCATGTAAACATTGCTGTGTCGGCTTCATTCGAAGGACGATTGGGGCCGATGTGCTGAAGTCGTATTCATGTAAACGCGGCTATGAATGTTACTTAGTTGCACCGATTCAGGTTGTCGCATTCGATGTGGTCATGTTCACAGAATAATGCGCTAAGGAAGTGATTCGCATTCAAGTCGATAGACGAAGGTAGATCGAGGTGGCAGATGCGCATTCATTCAGCCCATGTAAACGGAGGTCGCGTCGCATTTTGGAAAGGGGAGGCTTATGGGAAGGCGTCCGCTGCGAGAACGAGTGAACAGCTGAGAACACGGCGGCGGCCAACCTCTTTGGCGGCGCGGAGAGCGGTGCTGTGTTGTTGTCCGCAGTTTTCTCCCAGGGAAAAACGCAAGCTTTTATTGCCTTCATAAGTGAGCGGAGATAGCTGAGCTACTCGGTGAGGGCAGCCCCCGTCCAAGCCTCGCGAAGTATGACTTACGCGTCGGAGGGGGTCCCTGAAGGGTTCAGCGCAAGCACGAACTACGCCGAGAGCTCCGAGCACTGCATGGTAGCGCAGAACGAGCAGCTCCTACCGCGGTGCCATTCCTGGCTGCGCCGGAGCCTTTCAGCCTCCGGTTTGTCTGGTCGCAGCTAGCGGGACGATGCGCTGTAGATTCCTCAGCGCGTTTGGAAACGATTTTGCTCGCCACAGCGTGTGCATGTGCGTCTCCTCTGGTCCAGAGTGGCACGACGGCCTGGAGACCAAAACGCTTGGGTTTTGATGTCTTTCCGTCTCACAACTTCTTCCACAGCATCAAAGACAGCGGGCATAATCTTTATCTCTGATGTTTACGTTCACCAAAAGCGTCGAAAGGCCTTCACGTGCAATGCACCGGAAAACGTGGTCATGTGGTACGGCTGGTGCCGGAAACTCAGCTTTAACGTTGAGCTTTCACACGGTGTGGCACCACCTTTGCGTAGGGCTTGGTGTGCATTCATGTAAACATTGCCGTATCGGTTCCATTTGAAGAACGATTGGAGTTGATATGCTCAAGTCGCATTCATGTCAAAGCGGCTAGTAATAGCCTTTAAAGCTGGTGATTGGGAGCAATGTCAGAGCTTTGTGCTGAATGGGCACACTTGGCCAATGCAAAGCCGTATTTGCTGTTTGTGAGCCTCGACAGGACAATATTTTGGTCAGAACTTCTCACATGCGGACAGATGATGACAGGATCCTTGAGGCTACATAAGTGCTTGTTCCACGTGCTCATTCATTCATTGGTGGATGTCAGATTACCGTAAAATACCAAGAAAGCGCCTCCTCAAAATGTGAAAATAATAGCAGAAATTAAGGGATGAGCACTTGTTAGATCAGTTTTACCTACCGTAAAATACCGAGCAAAAATGCCCACTCAAAATTTGGAGATTTTGGAGATAATCAAGAAAAGCATGGGGATGGGCGCTTGTTAGGTGATCAGTTCTACATATATATGTACCGGGCAAGCTCGCAGTCTTCTGCCCATTGAACAACCACCTAGGCGCCGCCGCACCTGTCATCAGCTGGCTCGTGGGGCAGCATCACATTGAGCATAGTCGTCACCATCCGGCCCTGAACCAGCTGGAAGAGCGTCACACCAGTCGTCTTTTTCAACGCCGTGTTGTAGGCAGACGTGACTTAGGGTAACACCTCGTTCCACGTCTTGTGCTCCACATCGACATACATGGAAGTCATGTTGGCTATGGTCTTGTTCAAACGCTCTTTCGGCCCGTTGGTTTGCAGGTGGTACGCAGTGGTGCGACGATGGCTGGTGTGGCTGAGCCGAAGGATTCCTTGAGTTAGCTGCGCCACAAACGAGGATCCTCAGTCTGTGAACAGATCCTCGGGGACACTGTGTCTGAAGACACTGCACTTGACAAAGCATTTGGCGACTTTCACAGCAGTTTCCAATGGGAGGATTCTCTTCGCGGCATATCATGCAACGTAATCTATTGCGACGATTATCCACCTGTTTCCTTGCATTAGTGGTGCGAATAGGCCAAGCAAATTCATTCCAATCGGCTTGAATAGTGTTGTCAGCGGCAATCAGTTCCGAGCGCTTTGTCTTTTGTCGTGGTACAAATTTGCCAGTAAACTTTAGTTTCTTCAGTTCTACCCCGTTACTTTACCAAATTGCCACGTATGACAAGTTACAAGGCAGTGAAGAACTGAAGAAACTAAAGTTTCCTGGCGAACCTGTGCCACAACAGACAGCAGGCATTGCGGGTGTTGATGTCGGCGAAAAGGCTGGCTGGAGCGCTTGCAATAGGCTGACTCCATACATCGTACCGCGGCTTTTTTTGAGTCTTCCCTGGCAGCCTAAAACATTCTACCTCTATCGTTCGGGAACTATGCACTCTGAACATGAACAAACTACACGTTTCCCCAACCTTCGAAACCGTCCTCTTATGGTAAAAAAAGATAAGATGTTATGCAGTGGTGGGAGACATACCCGAGCGACATGCGCGTGAGGCCATTAAGAGCGCTGCCGACTCTGCTGGGTATGATCGCGGCAATATGTCGAGAAGGCCATACCTACCGACCTCCGGCAAAAAGTAAGGTTTTAATCAATATTCCCCTCGTATGTCTTAACCTTCCTCGTTGCTTTCTGTCTCCTTTCACAACAATTTAAGGAAGTGTATCCTTCAGGTTGTTGAACTTTTCATGTCATTTTATTAAATTTTATGTATGGAAACTTTACGAATATGGTGTCGCAATATTATGAGGGCCTAATAAGCCGTTCTATCAAAGGTAATGGGTGGCATTACTCAATGATGAGTAGTGACTGTTGCCATGTCTATTTATTTTATTGCTTAATATTCAGCCACATGTTTTGGTTGAATTTAACTTTTGTCTATGTATCAGAAACGTCGGGATTTGACTTACTGTGGCCTTCAAACATTGTTTGCTGAACCTTCAATACATAGATGCAAGATTTAGAGTATTGTTTACATACTAAATCCAATTGTTTGTTGTTTTTTTCTTTTTACAGGAGGAAAAGGCGGGCTGATCGGTCATGCAGGTGAGCTAAAAATGTATTTGCTTATCCTTTGTCGACTATGTACAGTACAAAGGCTGTTTCACACAGTTAAGATTGAGTGAGACTGCAACTGTTTACGACTAGGTGTGACTACCTAGCTTCCTTCTACCGAAGTAGGAAAGCTGTCCTAGCTTTCCTTCACTCACTGTAAGGATGGGATTATGCTGAAATGCTGCTTTGTTGCTTTGTTTACATCCCTGTCTGTGTGTGTGCTGCAATCCAGTGCAAGAATTTGCACCTAGGATGTGTGTGTGTGTGTTCGACTCTTCGAGAATGGCATTCATAAGTGACTGAAAATACCGACAGGACAAGTATTTTCCGCTTTACTTCTTTTTATCATACCATTGGCCACTTGTTGAAGGGGTGGCTAAGCTTGATAGGTCGGGTGATGATCCCGTAAGCATAAGGGGGAAGCTTGCTCTGCTTGGTTGTGCTGTGTGGAATGATGTCGCTGATCACGCGGGGATACCGGGGTTGGGGGAGCGGCAAATGGGTGATGTGATTGCTGCGCCATTTGCGCAAAAGTGCTTACCCTGCTACATTTGACCAAAATGTGAGGAATTTGCGCCAGAACTTAAGTTCAATTAAAAAATACTGAAAATATAACAGTTGCAGGCCTTGCTACCGGGCCGGATCGTTACGGTAGGCTCGTGCGGGTTTTCAGGACTTTCGATAATCGCCTCAAATAACTTACTGTTCGATTTGATTTTGCACCAAGCACTGACAGTACTCGGAAGTTTCGCAATAACTCTCCTGGTCTGTTCTGGAGGGTTACTTAGCTCTGTTGAGTGCGCTTCTCACTGCATACTGGTGTGCTGCAGTGAAACGACGATTGCGAACTAGGCATCGTGATGTTGTGTGTCTTGCTTCGCCGCAGCGCGCCTGCGTGTTAAGGGGACAGGTA